ACACCTGTAACACTTTCGGTAAATAATTTTCGAGCATGCAATATCAAATAAAATTGGAGTCATAGCTGGCTCTCTCCTCTATACGCACTGCTAACCATACGTTATTTTTGCATTAAAAAAAAACTGCAAAATATAATACCCTCATAAAGGGGAGAAAATGCCAGACATATTTACTCCGACTCTATATAATGTGAATGTGAGTGGTGGCTATTTAATGTAGCAAGTCTCCTGCAAATTTCGTTTATTGCACAATGGAATGAAAAAAAAAAAAGTTGCCACCCGCATCTTCTCACGTGGGAAACCAAAGTAAATGCATCGCAGAGTGGGGGGGGGGGGGGGGGGGGGTATCGCGTGAATACTGCGTAATTGAAAATTGTTTGGGAATGCCTAATTCTTCATTATCATCAACCTGACTACTCCCACTGCTGGGCAAAGGCATCTCCCATGATCCGCCAATCAACCCGTTCTTGTGCTTTCTGCTACCACGTTATACCTGTGAACTTCTCACTAACTTTCTGTCTCCCCTTCAAGTGTTATCGGGGCATCCAGTCAGTTGCCCTTGAAGGGCCAGTAAAGGCTCCAACTTTTTCACCCCCCCCCCCCCAAACAGGCTCGCGCATCCTTCCACGCGCAGTGACGTCAACTGGGCGACGTTGACTTAATTACTGTTTGTTGAGACCTCGAAGACGCCCTTGACTGAATTCCGAACGCGTGATCCTGAGCTTGAGCAGTCGCTTCATTAGCAGAGGCTGCCTGCGTCGGCCTTGCGAGGCGAGAGAGGGGGAGGAGAGCCATAGTTTTGCGGTTGTCTTCCTTGGCCAGCGCGAGACGCGAGTGACCGCAGAGTAATCGCGACATCGTGTGACTAAGCTCGCTTTAGCTACTTCTGGCAGAAAAACACCAGGCTGGGTAGCGTCACATAATTAGGTTGTCATGTCGAGCCCTCGGTAAGCAATTAACTGTCACATCGTGTACTATGTTTTCTCTCTCAAAACAAGGTTTTTCACCCCACTCTTATCCTTCGAATACCTGCCACCGCCTTGCCATAAATCTGCAAAGCGAGCCACCGGGTTCGATGTTCCCCGCCAATGCCTATTTCGTCGTCTTCGTGTGGCCGCCTTCGATCTTTGAAAGTGTAATGTCTTAAAGCTGGACCACATGAAATACTGTGTATTAGGGCACCGAAGTATACCAGCCTGCGGTATTTTTGGAGCTCCCCTCTCTGCTGTACGCAATGTGTTGAATGTCCGGAGTGTGATCCCCCGCAGGGACCGGAAGCTGGAGAGCGGGTGGTCGAAGGCCGAATGCCTCGATGCGATCAAGAGAGTGAAGTCTGGCTGGCTGTCTGTGGCCCACGGTAGTGGTTGCAGACTTGCAGCTCGCGGCAGCGACGATAAGGAGAATGGGATGTGTGACAAAAAGGAAAAGCGGCGAATATGGGGGGAAGAAAAGGTAAAGAAAAAAAGGTCGGCATATCCCACGTACATGGGAATCTCGTGTATATAAACCCCAAGTGCTATTTGTTCAAACACTTCTAGATGCTTTAAATGTTAATATATTCGAGATCACACCATCTGTCAAACCAATCGGCCAAGTGCAAATAAAATTTGACGATATCTTCGTCATGAACGCTAAACACTTGCCCTCTAAATATTTGATTGGTTTATTAGAACAACACCTGTCTCAATTAGGTACTAATATAGTAATTGCAACGGATGCCTCTATAAGGGGCGAGAAGGCAGGTGTGGGTATTTTTTCTCTCTCATTATTCTGGTCATTTTCATTACGCCTCCCAGATTATACATCACTATTTGAAGCGGAATTAATGGCCGTTATACTAGCTATTCGTAAACTTCCTGCGACTCAATCGACAGCTGTGATAGTGTCTTACTCGTATTCCGTGTGTTCATTCTTATCATCGTCGTCGACATCAGCAGTACTAGAGACATTTAAATCATTAATCCCAGCAAACATTCGTCTAGTCCGAATGATACGGGTGCCAAACCATCGTAGTATATTTATAAACGAGATGGCTGACACACTTGCGCGAACATCTCTTGATCTTCCGATTGTGCCAATCATGCCTCCTACAGCTTATGTAACAGCAGCGAGGTTTAGAAAACTTTCCCTTCTTGAAGACTCATCAAAAATCATGATACCGAATCCAGATTTCTCGCACCTGCACTTCACATGGAATAATAAATGGTGTCCCACGCGTAAATTGGAAGTCTTGATAACAAAATTACGTTGCCGTGTACCACCTCTTAATTTCTACTTAAACAGGTCGGGTCTGGTGCCATCCCCTCTGTGCTCAAGCTGTAACGAACCTGAACATATCGACCATTTTCTTATCACATGTCACCGATTTAAAAATCAAAGAAAAAACTGCTTCGAAATTTTATTCAGAAAATTAGGAATATCACTTAATACTCGCAATATTTTGCCTGTTGGGGCCACTTCATTGGGACACAGCGACAGGAACATCTGCGGGGCTCTCTGCGAATTCATATATAACATAAGAAGATTACCTTGCTGAGTCAGCGATCAGCTCTCGAATTTTTTTAGCCACACTACCACTTATTATTTAGCTGATACACTGCAATGATTCAACTTTCAGGAGAATTTCATATAACGATTCCACCTCACATATTCAACAAATTCTATTATTTCTCCCCCCCTTTTTTCTTTTTTTTTTTGACATTGCGCCAAATTAATTTCACAGTGAAAACACAGTAATCATATTCCCCTAATCTAGAAAATCTATAGGTATTGACTTGCATTAACCACCGGCTTCTTGGCCAATCCCCCTTAGTGGGTGAGAGCCACAAAAGAAAGGAACAAGCAAGCAAGCAAGCGAACATGGGAATCAATGTTATGCAAAGCATGTGGACGGAAGGTGGCTGTGTTGTAGCATTTTTTTTAGACTTTACTAAATAACGCTAAAGACGTGTTTAAAAGTTGTACGCACAGAATTATGTTTAACAGTGGCATATTGTTTACATAAACAGTAGTTTACAGCTGCGTAGATACCAACAGCAACATGGGTATTGGCAACACCAGAAGTAGTAAGCTCGTATGCCACGAGCTTGCGCTGGCACGGATGGAAGCCCCGAACACTGCTGCATAAATAAACTTCAGCGGATGGCGCCCAAGTACAACTGACACGAACCCGATGTGACAACTGTATCATAGGAGTACATATGTTTATAACATTGGACATAGTCAGCACTGCAACCACACTGGACGTTTAATGAACATTACGGTCTTTTTGAAAAGTGGTCGCGAGACCTGGCGTGGCGCTGTGGTAGAATACTTGATTGCCAAGCGGAATGCAGCAATTCGATTCCTGCTGAGGCCCTGACATTTATTCTTTGCATTTGTCGGATCAAAGCTGCCGATGTCAGCACTTTCTTAGTGCTCTCGCGTTAAGATTATGAATGCCTATTCTCACCGTTCCTAGGTAGATATAAACTGTCAATAACCTGCGACATATACCCGCATATTTGTACATCTTGAAGGTTTTGCGCAAACACACGGGGACAAAGATGAGAAACGCAAACGGGAGCAAACACTTCAAGATAAATATATTCCAACAAGGCCGAGTCGCAATTTTGCCGCATACCTGGAGCACATACCGACCCTGGGTATATGGGTATGCGCAACACGTGTCTGGCGGAAAAGGTTTGATTACGTACGCGATGGTATTCTCATTTTGTATGTCGCGAATAGCTAGTCATAATTAATTGTCACACAATCTTACCCTCCCGGACTAATTTTGGTTTACCCTAATTGGGTCACCACGTACGCGAGCACCCAGACGTAAGAGATACGCTCAAAGTCGGCGAAGTTCGCTAAGAAATGCTTCGCATTTAAAAATGTACTGAAAACAACAAAGAATTTTCAAACTGGGGGATCGCACATGTGCAGACCACCGTATAACCCTGGCTTTCCGATGGTGCCTGCAGGTGGCTGACAATGATGAGCGTGCGGTGAACCCTTTCTCTCTGCTGTTTGTACGCCTGTGTGGCCTCTTCCGGCGCACTTCAATAAAGTCACAATAGGAGCTTCTCCCTTTCAATTAGTAGTAGCAAAAAAAAAGTGCAAACAAACTTACAAACCAAGTAAGAGCTAGGTCATGCTGTTCATATCATAAGTGACCAACGAAAGTTGTAGCTCACAGCGCCATGCAAGACTGTGGTTGACGCAGACTAGGGGCGTAGGCAGAATTTTTTTGAGGGGGGGGGGGGCACTTTTTGAAATAGTCATTTTTCACTCTGTATGCCATGGCGAAAAGAAAAATCGGGGGGTGACGAGACAGGCGTCCTAGGCTCATCTCGCCACCCGTTAGCATTCTGGGACACCCGTACATGTTTCGTACGTATGCTGAGTTAACATAGTTGAGGCATATATATGTCTTTTTGGCAGGGGCGGCGCCAGGATGTTTTTACTGGGGGGGCAACCACGAAAAGTGAGTTCCTCCGGGGGGGCAAGCTAGCTCTGCTCCTACTATGTTTTCAATATATGCTTCCGGGCACTTGGGTGGGCATAGGGGGGGCAGGCGAGAATTTTGGGGGGGCTCCAGCCCACCCCTGCCTCCCCCTGGCGCCGCCCCTGCTTTTTGGGCAGATGTATGATGTGGTGCACCTATGCACTACGAATACTTGTCCGTGCATATCTCGATATACTGTATGTAGCTATAGTGAGGATAAAAAAAAACAGATATTTGTCAGCATAGAGGCTTATTCAGAGAACTCTGGCAGATGTTCTCTGGCTTGGTGCAGTGGTGTAGCCGGCTACACCACTGCACCAACATGGTTTAGTTCACGACTTCAAATCACGCGCTATGTCCGAAAGTACTCGTTGTTTATCGTGATGCTGCTGCCTCTTCAGTCCAAAGCAATCTAAATAACCAAATTTTTGATGGCTGGTAAAAAGCCTACTCCCCCGCATGGTCGTATTTGTGGTAGTAGTAACAGCACTAACTGCATGCAAATGCTAAACGTTTGGCGTCGAAAAACAAGTTTGCGTGTTTTGGCTACCTAGTGACCTTCAACTATTGTCTATTATTGTCTGCGTCTTGAAACCAGCGATGACGGCCATGTCAAACAGGAACCAGGGTATGTTTTGATGCTTTTGATGGCTGTTTAGTTTACATTTTGTCCGTAACCGCACTTGAGCGGTTTTTCGAAACGGCATAGTTTACGTTATTGGTACAAATGTTGTTGTTTTGTGACGATGTGCCATTTGCAAACGGAGACGCGCTTCGTGTCGGTGCAATCATTGGAGCGTCACAGAATACAGCTTCATTGTAACGTGCCCTGTCTCCTGCAGGTTTTCTGACCGTGTGTTACTATAGATGGGATAAGGACAAGCTCAAGCCCGATGATCTCGACACAAGCTTGTGCACTCATCTTATTTTGGGGTTCACTGAGGTTGAAGACAGCATACTCAGCAAAGGATCCACAGATGGGGACTCCTCCTATCAAGCTGTTGCAAATCTCAAAGCAAATAATCCTTCCTTGAAAGTCATGCTCTCAGTGGGTGGAGGGGGCAAGTCGCGCTGTTTCCACGAAATGGTGTCTGATCCATCAAATACCGACAGGTGCGCATTGAATTTCAAGAATGATCGAGCGACATGGTTACCTGCCTAAACAACTACTTTTTTTTTAACTTGGTGCAGATTCGTTGCGTGTGTTGTGGAAACCCTGCGAAGAAACAACCTAGACGGCATTGATGTTGACTGGGAATTTCCTATGAATATTCGCAACGGCAAAGCCCATTTCAGTAGGCTTTTGCAGGTAGGCTGATTATGGTTTATGTACATGAATGTCGAACGACGGAATGTTGCTGATTGACATTTTGTTGTAGAAATTGCGAACTGCGTTCGACGATGAAGCTGTTGCCTCGGGACGACCGAGACTGATTCTATCAGCGGCAGTTGCTGCACAATCTGTGATCGTCAACTTCTCTTACAGTGTTCGAGAGATCGAGAGGTAAGAAACTATTCTCGTTTCAGCCAGCATCGCATTTGAATGCAGTTGGCTATAGACATGCGTCATTTATTTTTTTTTGTTCATACTTTCAATCACTGAGGCATTTCTGAAGGCATTGAAATGAAGCAAAAGTTAATATCAACAAACAATAAAACATGGTATACTGAGGTCCCCGTGTCATTAGAATTTACTTTTTTCACATGAATTCGGCGTCTGTCTGTGCTTAATTTTTTTAAATCACCAGTTCTCTCAAGTTTGAAGTTTAACTTTTTATTATTCTCGATACTTCAATATCATACGTGGAATAATATCTGAACATAGAAAACATCAGAACACGCAAAGGCTATTTTAGTTGTCTGGACGGTTTGGATGCACAAACCATATACACACAAGCACAAATACCTGTGCACAAAACACTCATGTTTGTCCATAGTAGAATACTTGTTGTAATAGATGTCAGCACACTTTCTGAAGTCCGTTCAGTCATGTGACCTGGCACGCTGCAGTGCTGCCACGGATGCATATACCAAGGTGTCGTCTCGTGCTACCGGGTACTGTACACATGTTGGTCTGTATCGCTCCATGCTCGATAAGCCCTTTGGTAAATGTGTGATGCGTGTGGTCTGCCACTGCTGACAAAAAGTAAAGCTCATATTGGCAAACTGACCAATACAGTAAGGACCATTTAGAACATGCCCTTCCCTTTTGATAAGTAATAGAACAGGATCATATTGGTGATTAAAACCAGACTTTATCAAATAAATAAAAATTGTCAAACATTTTCTTGGTGAGTTTATTTTGGAGTTTCTAAGAAAATTTTCCAAAAGTACAGAGCCGTGGTTATACGTCATTAGCAGCGAATTAAAATTTAAAGAATATGTTATGAAGGAGAGAAAAAAACTGCAGGCATTGAGATATACACAGAAAAAAAGTGGATTTGAGAAAGATACATCTGATAATCTGGTAGGATTATGACAGTAAAGGTGCACAAAAAGGAACGAAAAAAAAAGTGAGTTACCAGAAATGCAAATTATTTACATTAGTACAAGGGTGGCTGCATTTGTTAGATGATTGGGGTATGAAGCAATAAAAATGACGTGTGCGGCAGAAAATGTATTGTAAAATAATGCAAAAAACAAAAAAAGACACATGAAGAAGACAACACGCTATTTTGTGCTGTTTTACAATGCAGTACCAGTAGGGTGGCTAGAATGGGAAGGTGTGATGACCGGCTTCCGGAGGCTGGCCCAAAAGCGCGTTCCTGCCGCGCGGTGGCGCGGCCGGTGGGGGCGCTGTGCTTTTCTCGCGTCGTCTACTTGCCTCTGGGCGGGTAAATGATTCGACCGCGCTCAGTTTTGCAGCGGTAGTCTTTTCAATTATGTTGTTGACGTCGAGAAACTTGCGCGTGTAATCTACAAGCGCAAACCACGCAGCCGATACAGAGCGTGGGTTTCGCGGCCACTTCTTGCGAGGTGGGCGCGCTTGTCACGCGAAAAATAGTTCAGAGGAATCTCTCCCGCAGACCAGCAGGTGGCAACAACCCTGCGTGTGTCGCTCGCAGATTTGTTATACATTTTCGATTGCAATAGTATTTTAAAGAGTGGAAGTCAATGCAGTTTTTATGCAGTGCGGCAGAAGAATGCAATAAAGTACAAGACTACAAGACTGGTGGCTTGATACAAGTTTATTGGAAACAGTACTATAAAACATTACATAACACAGGGCTTCCCCTTCTTGGCTTTATTCTGCACAGCATGCTGGTTTAGCCCTTTCAGCAGAAAATGGACACGCGTAATGCTGTAGAACCTGACAGCCGACGTTGTTAAAGAAGCTGAATGCTCACTGCAGCCAATTTGTGGCACATTGGCTGCTAGGTGCAAAAAATCTTTCACTACCTCGGTGTGCAAGCGCGTGGTGCTAAATGCACGAGTCTATCCTCAAGGGTGTTGATTAGACTATATTGACGGACAGACGGGTAAAGAAGGCTTCCCATTTCCCACTTTTTACACGCTTCTGCTGGCAATTGGTCCGTCACACTATCACGTGTCACGAGGCAGGCATCCTTGCAAGCTTCACATTGGGTTGAGGAGATCCGCTTCCTGGCTACATATCCTGCAATATAATAGGTGAGGTGGTCATCACTGCGTTCTTAAACGTAGTCAGCGTGGTCAATCGCAACCTCTGCTGCTTCGACAGGTAGTGTAATGTCGTCACAAGCTGGTGCTTCATTTTCAGACGGGCAGGTGCACGAAAGAGAGACAGTCTTTCACCGCAGGACTTGTAGCCGGCGTCGCAACCTGGCACAAAGCACCACCTCTGCGTTTTTTCTTCCGTCGACGGCATTCTTCAGAGTGGTTCAAAAATCGACGACAACCGCTGACATCGGCTCCTTCAAGAAATCGGGAAGCGATAAAAAAAGCAGGCCGTACTTCGTGAACAGCGACAGCTAACTTGCGATGCTCCGTCACCTACGAGACACGAGCAACACATGCTCACAGTCGGCACATGCCAACAGCGCCCCGGACTGACGCGCCAAATTTCCCCCCAGCGGCGAGAACGTGCAGAGGGGCCTCGCTAGGCAAGAGGCCGCCGCCGCAGTCATCACACCTCCCCATTCTAGCCACCCTAGTACCAGCTAGCTTGGCTTTCTGTACTAATGCAGAAAATGATTTTAACCTTGGGTTTGTAATCATTTTGAGATGAAAAGTTATCACGGACATAAGCTCTACACGCAGTGATAAATGACTGAAGGTCTTACCAAGAGGCAAAAGGCAGAAACACTCGTGGCACAGAAGTTTATTCATTCAATTACGTTTAATGATGGAAAATTACCAACTTGCCAAGCAAGACACTCTTCTCAATTACATAGGGTGGTAAAAATTGTGAAGCTCACTTGAACTCACTCATGAAATATATTTTGCCCTCGGGGCTCACTCACACTCAAGCTTGTCGAGATTTTCCTCAGCCACACTCACTCGGACTCAGAAAAATATTCTTCAACCAGACTAGCTCAAACTCACTAAAATATTGCTCACCTGGACCCTCTCAGACTCACATTTCGATTTGTGTCTGAGTGGGTCTGAGTGAATAGACTCCCGAGTTCATCAGCTTAGAATTAGCTTGCTAACTCATAATGTCAATGCACTAATATCTCGCGTTATTGGTGGTTTTCTTGGCGCGTTTTGGTATAATGGCTTGAAATATGAGTCATGAGTGATTACAAACAAGTAAGGTCATTTTTCTTGAAAGAGCTCACAACATAAGAAATATTTATCAAGAACTGCCCTGGAGGAGTTGACGGAGGGAAGTGAAGGCACTCTCCTTCGTAATTCACCCCTCTGATCACTAAATGTAGAGATGGTGTATAAACGATACTGCTTTGGAGTACATGTGAGTAGATGTGAATCCAGGTAAGGCTGAAGGTAAGTAGGTAGGACTATAGGTGGAAAAAAAAAAAAACCTGCACTCAAATTTACTGAAGAAATATATCTAGGGCTCCGTGTTTTTGCAGTTTATTTTTCTTGAAATTCAGCGGGTGTTATTTGGAGTTTACTTTTAGAGAGATAATTCAGCAATTATCGGAGTTAATTTCTCGTGAATACATAATTCTTCAAAATTAGGTATTTAATTTTATAATATAAGTTGTCCAATGTACTCTTATTAACTTTATTTTCAATGAAAATGCATCGCATTATTGCTGATAATCCTGTTTTTCCATTCTTTCATTTTTTCCCCTGTGCTCTTCACTTATTCTGCTAAAGGGGCCCTCCAACACTATTGAAGCATCTATTTTTTATTTGTGGTTTGCCTAGAATGATAGCTGGAGATAATTTTAGTATAGGTATATTTATTTATTTATTTATTCATGTACTCTAAAGGCCCGAGGGCATTGCATAGGGGGGGGGGGGTAATAGTATACATATATAGAAACTAACACGAACAATAACGTAATAAAATATATGAAAAAGTAAAGAACAACATATAAATAATGTACAAAATCGCAGAAAATCAATTATGAAGACAAAACTACACTAATATCAGCGCCAATATCAAATGATTTAGTATTTTAATCACTACATCGCTGCCGACCGCATCATCACATAGTGACACCGGAAGGATGCCGTCATATGATTGGATAAACGTAGCATTAGAAGCGACCGTGGTGTAGGATCAAAACTGAGGTAACTATTCTCTCTTATTTTTCTTCTCTGTGCTTTTTCATGGAACACTGAACAGATGCATCCGCAACAAAAAAGAAAGATCACTGCACCTACAAAGCACGACAGTAATGCTGGTTGCCATTTCGCCACTGGATCTTTGACTACGCGGGTCAGATGTCTATATGGAAGACCTCTCTCTCTTTCTTCCCTCTTCTTGCTTTTGGGAGCTGTCTCTTTCTGCACGCGAGCCGTTGAAGGGGTGTAGTACACCATTGTTGTTCATCGGGCAGCTCACCGAACAATGTGCGAAGTGTCAACAGTACTTCACTGTCCTGGTCGTTCCACAAGTTCCTTTCTCAGATTAAGAGGAGGGAGTTACTCGGAATGTTGTAAAAAACAGCTGAAAATACCTCGCTTCGACTCCTTAGCTCCCGCTCACGTTCTCACAAATCAGGCATCAGGCACCACGTTTATTACTGCGGCAACAAGGTCAACATTACTTTGGAAAAAAAAAAAACAAGCAACAGCGGAGTGTGAGTTTTCTCTACGTATGCGCTTCTAGCTTATTTCATTGGGGCAGCCTTCCGATGTCATGGGCGAGTGAAATGTGGTCTAGTGACCCCACGAAAATAGAGTTGAGGGTCGTCATTTTTTTTTCAAGAACTGCCCTTGAAAACTGCCCTTGAAGAACTGCTTTTGAATTTTCCTTGTCGAATAACTTCAGACTGCGTGCAGTTATCACTTCCATCTTTGCTGCATTAGTCTGTCGGTACTTCAGTCTACGCAACCCACGAATAAAACATGGGGTGTTGAATAGTGTTGCAGCGCCCCTTGACAAGGCTGCACTGCTCTGCTGTGAACTCACCCAAAAATACTTTTTGGGGGCAGGGGCTAGGCAAGTTGCTTGCCCTCTCTCATCTTGATGAAAGTTAAAGGATCTATTAATACTATTATTCTCCATAGCGCAAAATATTCAATAAAATTATATCTCAACATGAACACATGGAAACACACCGAATGTATTTTAAATGTCTCGGAGGTTTGAAACCCAAAAAACATGCACGAAAGCACAAACTTGAATACGAAACACCTACGGTTTTTAGTGTTACAACATTTAGGGTTTTTTTAATAGCGTACTTTATGAGGTTGCTACCGCTCATGAATATTCGCTCCATTCAGTTGATGAATCTCAGATTTAAAAATGCTGTTAGAACATTGAAAATGTTCTTTTAAAATCGTAGTTTATCGCTTTTACAATCGTAGTTTATCGGATAAATCCGTATTGTCAAAAATTTTACCGGCAGGTGCTTATCATAGTATTTAGGATTATTCCGAAAACATGGAGTCCTAAATATATTTTGCACTTTGGACTCGCTCGAAGTCGACTCAGCAAAAGTTTCATTAGCCGGACTCGCTTGAACTCGCACTCACCAAAACTTTCTTCAACCGAACTCAGTTGGGCCCAAACTCGCCAAAACATTACTCACTCAGACTTACGGCTGCTCGATCTTGGTCTTAGTAAGTTGACTCATAAATGGGTTCGTTGACCTATACTGAATTATGTGAATGTTACACAGCAACATAACATACAGGTTGTCATAATGCTCTGGGCTACAGGGTACTAATTAAATTGAGCAAAACAAATCAGGTTTAAGAAATTTGCAAGAAGGCTATAAAAAGTTATTAAGTTGGAAAGCAATAATGCAAGACAAGTGAACAAAAGCATATTAAAATATACTGAATTACATTTTGTATGAACTAATGAAAAAAATAGAGGTTCCAGAAGTAGATTGTAATAAGAATGGTCTGCTTTTGTTATTGTTATACATTGTGTAATGGTAAATAGGTGTGAACCTGAAAGACCTAATTAAAGAGTTTTATGATGGTGATTCCAAATTGCAGTGGCATATTATAGTTACACACTAAGCTTTGCAGAGGAGCAATGGGAGGAAAGGTGGAAATTCATTGAAGTTGCATAGCAAGTATCCCAATATGTGTTCACTCCTGTTACTGGTTTTGTTGAGGGGGGTATTTCATTTTAAACTGCTAGTAGTAGTAATGCACTGTTAGTGTATAATGAGGCTTGGATCAAATTCAGTGTTGCATTTTTTACAGGTTGAGCTCTCATACTGCTGAGAGAGCATAATTATTTTGCATTTGTTAGAATTTCATGAGTCAGTTGTTGCACAAACTTCTAATGTAATTTTAGTCTGTCTGCAGTATACCGTATTTACTCGCATAATGAACGCACTTGCATAATAAACGCACCCCTGCTTGAGTTGTCAAAATTTGGATTTTCATTTTTCCCGCGTAATAAATGCACCCCCTACATTCGTCTGCTGTAGTCCCGCTAATCGACACCTGGCACCTTCTTGCCCGTTGGCTCTCTTTCATTTTTTATTATCATGCCGACTCCCCTCGGCCACCTCGGCTCGCTTCCTCTCCCCCCTTTGCCCGCTGCCACACTCCGTATAGTTTTTCTTTCTATCTGTGCGTGGCATGTACTCAATCTTTTTTAAATATCTATGCGCCACAGTCAGGTTCACTAACTGTGCGAGTGTAGAGACATTGCAGCTGACAAGCACACATTGAGTGAAGGTCACGAAGCTTCCCGCGCCAACTGATGGTCGCTTGCTGCAAATACGAAACTTTAAGGCCCAACCACATGCATGCAATTTTCGTGCGATGACCACAGGATTTGTTGTCGCTATGGCTCTTGCGAAGGGCTATTCTTCACCATCATGTTGCAGGTTTCTGGAAAGCCAGAAAGAAATCGCTTGTCGCCCAGAAAAGATCGTGACTATTTCCGCAACATGGTCCACGATTTTCGCTTTGGTTTCAAGCGAGGTGGCCGCAGTATTTTGTCGTTAATCTTGTTATCGATGGTTTGTTTTGATGCTTCAGTGGTAGCTTGCTGCATTGTTGGTTGCTTGCTACAATGTCAACAGCGTTGTCGCGGTCGTCGCGCGAGGTTGCCAGGAAGTTGGCAAAGTGCATCATGGCGTGGTAGCGCATGCTTCTGGGTGCTCTCGAGATCACAGCAGGTACTACTGTTGCGGTTAAACGATTGCAAGATAGCCACGAAGGGCTTTTATGTGGTACATGGGCGACGCGGGAATAGCTTGCAGAAGATAGCGCCTTCAACCACCGAAGATGAGTGAAGTGCAACAAGGAAGCTAAGCGACATAACTTTTCTTGGCATTAACGAATTTTTTTGCTTATACGGAAAAAGTTTTTATAACATTTTCCCCACATAATAAACACACTCCCAACTTTGCTCCGATTTCTTAAGAAAAAAAGTGCGTTCATTACGTGAGCAAGTATGGTATCAATCACGTCATTTAAACTTGTAAAGTACACAGTTGTTGGTATACAGAAGCACAGAAGAAGGGACACAGCTGTGTCGTATTTTAAAAACAAGACGGGACCAGAAATTGAACCTTGTGGCACTCTTGATGCTACATTTATTTGAGATGAGTCATGATTTTTAATCGGGATGTATTGAAAGTAATTTGCTGTAAAAGAAGATATTCAAGTATGCACATTATAATTGGGAGAGTTTAAACTTTAATAAGGTGTGATTGAATTTTTCGAAGGCTTTTTCAATGTAAAAAAAAACGATACAGTTGACCTTCAATTGTTTTTATATTACAGTGTGTAGATGACGAGTAAACAGAAGTGACTGCGTCGCACAGGAAAATGTGCACTTAAAGTAGTCTTGAGCTTACGTCATTATGAATTCTATTCTTGATATTCAGCTACATGCAAATACAAAATGTGTTGTTTGGTTTTTATGTGTTCCATGAGTTTACAAGGAAGGAAAATGGCCTAGTTTGAGAGCTGAGTGCTTAATTACAAGAATTATGTATTGGAACTACTTTACTCATTTGCCACAGAACCCATTCACAATATTATAGTAACATGTTGAATTCAGCTCATTGATACATTTTTGACGGTATATATATCAATATACATCGTATTGTGTTAGGGCTTGGGCATGCCACTTCATGATCTTGTGCAAAGTAAGGTGTGCACAATATGTTGTGCAATTTTTTTGTTTTATTTCAGGTATGTGGACTTCATCAACCTCATGACATATGACCTACACCTTTTCAAGTGGTATTATCCTTTCTCTGGGCACAACAGTCCTCTCCATGGAAGGAGGAAAGAGCTTGGTTACTTTGCCACCCTGAATATCGTTAGTAATTTTTTCCTGATTTCTTTACTTTGAAATGCTACAAAGATTGTGGGCTACTTTTTGCAAATTTCAACAAAGCAATGTTCTTTTTAAGATGTTGTTTTCCTTTTCACTCTCCATTCTTTTTGTTTACATGTCGTATCTTATGAAGATGGTCAAATTTTCAAACATAAAAGCACCCTTTTTTTTCGAAAGAGCCGTTCTTTGAGAGAGATTGAAAGTCATCATATGCCCTATGCAACAGGAACTGCTTGCTATGACAATGACAGTGACGCATGACTTTTGTTGATCCAATGTGGAGTGTGCAGTGTCACCATTGGAAATGGGTCATAGAGCAAAATTAGAAAAGAGAAAAAAAAAATTGAAGCAATGTTTGTAACCTGCATGCAGGGCTCTCAACTTCGGAGAACACACAGGGTTGTACACCATTCATGGATGCTAGCCAAGACAAAGAGGAAGAGTGAGAATTTTGGCAGTGAAACTGGTTTTCTAGTGTGCAGCTTCATCTGGTCCAATAAGAAACCAATCACAAAAATTTTGATGCAAGTGTGTTTTATGCCAGGGTCCACCAAGAATTGGCTCACTTCATTTCCATCACAGAAATGACATCATTAAAGGGCCCCTAAACCACTCCGAATTTAAAGACAAAAGAGTGGTTCCTTCTTCATCTTCACTTCCCTTTGTACATTTGCTGTCTCCTTCTCACCACTTACTTCTTCATAAAACACATGGAAAATGTCAGCACTAAGTGTTGAGCTTATGAGGATATTGCTCTTTTAGGCTACACACTGTTATCTCCTCTCGCACAGCCAAAAACGCACAAGATGAAGTGAAATCGAGTTATTGTGCACGATTGTCATACAAGACAAAGCTGAACGGGTGTTCTAATGCACGGTAAAGCAGGGTAGGAGACAACGCACAACTGTTATCTCATATACACACCAATCGAGAGCTTATTTGATCATGACGCTATGCAAACATACTGATGGTGTCACAAATCGGGCTGCAAAGAGAGGGAACACCAGTTGCGAATTTCATGCTTATCCCATGTGTTTGCAGTTGTTTAAAAGAGCACGTATATAGGCTATAAAGAAAACTTCAGAAAGAAAAATTTCATTACGTTGCCTGGGGAATGGAACCCCTTATTCCTCAGCCCACAAAGACAGAATGTGAGAGCTCTAACCACTATGGCATCAATGCAAGCCTTCATCAGGCTAAACACACGCACACACATATTCACGCACGCACACACGCACGACAAACATGAAGTATGGTTGAACAGCCCTTCTTTTCCCTTTCAGAAAAAAATTTCTGGCTGCGCCCCTGCTCAGTGCCATGTCATGTCTGTGAGGCCATCTTAGCTTTCTGCTCTGACTTGATGCAGTTTTACAATGTGGATTCTCTTCCACATTCTATTAATGTGACGCCCGATTGCCTTTTAAGTTCAGTTTAAACATGCAGTAGCCCTGTTTACATACTGCCTACTGTACTTGCAATGGTGCTGAATAACAATTCTGCTCCATTAAGGGCTCCAGAAACACAGCGGCATGGACAAGATAATGTCGGAAAAGTGACTGTGTGGGACGTGCTGAAGACATGCCAGTGGGAATCCCTGTGCTTTTGCGTTAACTGGGTGCATGCTCTGAACTGTGCCTTTTGCATTCATGATTTTGTGTGTGCAGATGCAATAGCAGTGCCAATTGCATCAATTTGATACAATTCTCCATTTTCCGCGGAGCTGTGCCAAAACCATGAAATTTGCTGAAATTGGGCCACGCTGCGCCAAAGTGCCCGACCAGCCTCAAAATTTTCTCAGTTGCGCTAATATCAACGAGAAATGGAGGCCACGTTGCCCACCTGCAGTTTGCGTCATCAATCAGTCCTAGTGCGCAGACTCTAACTTCAAACTATGCTAACCTAACTATGCTAACCTTAAAAATACTTAAACCACGGTAACTTTAATTCCGTTAGGTCGGGGTACTCGTGATTGACCAGATAAAGTAACAAAGCCGTCTGCCCATCAGTCTGCTGACTGCAGCGGATACTTATTGGTGGAGCGACGCGACTTCAAGACAAAAATGTGTTGCCGTAGCCACCAATGCTTCACGGGAAATATGAACTCCCTAGCCAGTAAATCCGGCTATGGCATGCTTGCAACTAGAGCTGGGAGTGCATACCACGTTCTCCACGCGTGAGCAGAGTTGACGTGCTGCGAGTGGTGGCCTTGCTGGTGTTGGTTGCCATACCAATGGCACATAAAACATTTTTCTGTCTTGAAGTTCCATTTGTTGGTTTGTCCCGGTGGTAGATATCCGGTGCTGTCGTTGGACCAACAGGTGCGTGCCTTGTTACTTTATCTGGTAGAACGCGCCTTGAAAGTGAGGCAAAATGTTGTGCCCTAAACCTAACCCCCCATCGTAAAGAAATATAGAAAGGAAGGTAGGGGGGCCTGTAGCGATGTTCGAAAATTTCTTGGCCTTGTTCTAACCCGGGCAGAACGCTGCTTAAACCACCTTCACTGCAGTACACCACTGCCTTGCGGAAAACCGTATTATGATTAGGAAGGGGGCTATGAGCACTACTCGTGGGATGGAGCACATTTCGTTCAGTTACTCATGCATGTATACTACCGCATAATTGTTAGCATTAGTAGGATCACTGATGTCTGAAAAAGTGACTGGCAAATATTTGAAGTAGTGTATGACACTTCTGCCACCCTTAAAAAAAAACTGCACCAGTTTTTTTGTTGCTACCTCTATTGCTCAGTTTCACTGATTCCTTCAATTTCAAGGTCACCAGCTTGGCAGATGTACTTTTTAATTCACAGATTCTGTCAAAGGATTTGACAGACGTGGCAAATGATAATCTGGACTTTGTCATTGTGTGGTGGCTCAAAGTACTAGTTTTATTGAAATAGCAGTACTCATGTTTACTTTGCACGATTGAGGTGATGAATGGCTTGCACATACTTTTTTTTTTTTCTAAATGTAAGCCTTATTTTTATACTGCTCCAAATTTGGTCTTTCATGATAAAAAATACATGTTTTATTTCCCGTAACCTGCTCCAAATTTCCACTTTAGTGTTCCAAAGGCAACATTTTGCTGCCCCAGAAATTGCTCCAAATTCTATTTCCGCTGTTGCACCCCTAGTGTGTCAAAAGTTACTGGGCCACTGCAGGCACCTGTGAAATAAACCAAAATTCTCATACCTGCGCTAAAGCCACTTATCAATAGGTCAATGTAGGAAAAGTGGAGTTTCCAATAGCTAATGACCTGAAAATATTGCTCTTTTTTTTGGGGGGGGGGGGGGGATGTGACTGTGAGTTCGCAAAGCAGTTTATGGACAGTACCTTCGGTTCCACTATTTATTTATTTATTTGTTTATTTATTCTGCTTTTAGTTTATTTAATTATATACAAATGCTGCAGTCTTATATTGGGATATTTGTTGGGTGGGGATGAATACAATTTCATGATATGAGGTATTGGTACAAAAACAATAATGTTAGCCTAAAATAAGGAGTGTATCTAGGGCAACAATTCGAGAACAAAATGAACAAAAGCATTACAGAGTCTGTAAAAGCCATAAAACCAAATCTTTCGACAGTTTGTTCTATTCAATTACTGTCCTGGGAAAGAACGAGTGTTTAAATTGGTCCCCCCACAGCACTTTTCTAGGCAATCATTGTATGGCGTTATTGAAGGAGTTTATTGCCTTGCAAATTGAGCGCAGCAAAATGCTTTAGAATCTGTTAAGTATGAGATGGGTTACAGGGAATTGTCGCATGCATTAACCGCTTTTCCGCTGCCTTTGTACCAGCGAGCATGCTGCATGTATAGGAGGGGGGCAGGGGATTGCACGGAGGCGAGAAGTTATGCTCACGAAAACCAGCATGTCGAGACGTCACAAAAAAAAATGAGCACACACACACACAGCGTGTGTATGTGTGCTTCTTGTTTTCTTTGTCCCGTCTCGGTGCGTTATTTTTCATGCTCTGTGCATGCCAACTGGCTCACCAACAATCAGTGTTGAAGTCAAAACCCACACCAGTTTGCCAGCCCAGATCATGACCTTGAGCCCTATTGTTTGTTGTTGGCGAATGTGCGGCTTACTTTCAGTGTGACCTCAAGTGTGTATGTAGGCATGCGATGGTATCCCGTGGTGGCCACTATAACTATGCAGCTCATGACGCTTAAATTAGCCAATGGCTGTAGACTAATGGTGCGTTCAGTTGGTTTGTGGCATCATTTGTCGAAAGAATACCTAGAGATTTTCAGCTGGTTTTGAGAATTCATACGAGCTGGTGTTGGATTGATTGATATGTGGGGTTTAACGTCCCAAAACCACTATATGATTATGAGAGACGCCGTAGTGGAGGGCTCCGGAAATTTAGACCACCTGGGGTTCTTTAACGTGCACCCAAATCTGAGCACACGGGCCTACAACATTTCCGCCTCCATCGGAAATGCAGCCGCCGCAGCCGGGATTCGAACCCGCGCCCTGCGGGTCAGCATCCGAGTACCTTAGCCACTAGACCACCGCGGCGGGGCCGAGCTGGTGTTGGAACATCATGCCTGCATTGCCACCTGGCTCACTTTCATTCATCTCCTGGTTTACCAAGCCTCTTCTCATAAAAAAATACAACCGAGGCATAATCACAGCAGTGTTATTTTTTTTAACCCTTTCAGCCCTGGAATTTTTATTTTCTACACAGATTTTTTTCGTTTAGATATTTGATACCTCAAGGACTCTAGAAACTTAACTAAGCAAAAAAAAATTCATTTCTGCGATTATTTACCGATTTACATCTACGTCGTCAAAACCGCACATCAGGGCTCAGTGGTTGCGAAACAGCGAAAAGTTGGTTTATTGCTATGTGAAAAGTACAATATAGTTCCAAGCACAAATTTCATCACTTATGCATATGGAATGCTCGGAAGCAGTTTCGAGACTTGGCAAGACACACATGCACCTTACATTTCTCACACATTATACGCGTTTGTCCCGTGCAACCCTCCAGCTTACATCGCTGCTCCCTGCTGTCAGAGCGAATAGGCCAGTGTCCCACCTCGTCGTATCGCACATCTCGCACAGGCCTATTTTCGGTATATTTTGCTTCTTTAGAAGGTTGCAAAGGTGAGAGCGATGGCCTTCCGCGTTTTCCTCGCCTTGGGCAGGCTCTGTACTCGTGCAAGGGCTTCTGCAATACTCAGAGTGAAGTCGAGCAAGTCCAGCTGACTGGCAGACGTCAGCCCTCGTGCGACTGCATCTCTTCTGTATTCAAGCCATGCATTCACGACTGAAGCATTGATAACATGAAATATCATCCTCAGTGTCCATTTTCGTGACCGAATCTTCGTGCGGTAGAGTGCCACTAGGAAGTCGGTTTTATCAACTCCACCCATGCTGCTGTTGTACATTCTTACAACAGCAGGCCGTTTTACTTCTATGTAGCACCCATCTTTCTTGCTCCAGCGCTTTGCGGTGTCTTCATCATCGATAGCCACAAAGTTCGATGCCAGAGTCACAGCCTTGTTGTCGTACCATCGTGTGACCGCCACTTTTCCATCTTTGCTGACCACAGAAGCGGAAGAACCGCGACCTTTTTGCTTTAGATTTTTCTCTGGCTCCAGCGGGCATTTTTGACATCGGTTGACTCGAATTGTTCCTGCAGCAAATATCTTCTTATCAAGGAGCATGCGCAGCAGAGGCAGTGACGTAAAATAATTGTCAAAAAATAGCTTGTGCCCCTTGTCGCAGGGAATACGGTGAGCAAGCTGTGACACTATAGCGCCTGTCACGCCATACTGCTGTTTTAGGCTTTCGTCTAGCCTTGTTGTTGACCCCTGATAAGGCAGGGAAGAATACACAATGCCAGACTCTCCACACAGCATGAAGATTTTTACACCCCAGGGGTGTGGCTTGCCTTTCACATACTGCTTTATATCGAGCTTTCCTTTGAAGGGAACAATTTGTTCATCGATACACAATCGTTCCTCCACCTTCAAGGACCGACACCTTGCTTCAAATTTATCAAGAAGGGGTCTCACCTTCCAGAAGCGATCCTTTGGGTCCGGCAGAGACACGTCAACGATGTGCAGATTGTTCCTCAGCTTTTCGAAGCGGTTGCGTGAGAGTTCAGTGGATGCCACCAGCCTAGTCTTCATTTCCGGCTTCCAATATAACCGTAGCCTTGGGTATCGCATCACCCCCATGATCAAGTGAAGAGAAATCAGCTGTCGGATTTCCTGTTCATTTGTACCAACGCATCTCCCTTCTTGCAGTAAAGAATACTGGTTAGTTCTTTCTGCCATGTCAATGAATATGCTCTTGGGAACGTAGTGACTGAAGTAGTCCCACGGTGAGGGCATCTCTTCGTTAGTATTCAAAAAAGGAAGTTCGTCGCACTCAAAAGATGTGTCTGGCTTTACGAACTTCTTTTTAGTCCAAGCTGCTGCCGGCACCTCGCAAACATCATCCGCACTTTCCTCCTCGCTGTCAGCATGTTCTTGCTCGGGCTCCTCAAGATCATCACCGCTGTCAGAGGAATTGTCTATTTCTCCTTCTAGATCAGACAAATTACCATTGTCCAGTTCATGAAAAAGTGCATCTGTGCTTTCTTCTAAACGCCTGCCGTAGAACGAGGATGCTGGTATACCTGGATTAGGTGCACCTGTAAGGAAAAAAAAAGCTCAATGTAGCCGGATGCCAACGCAAGTCGCCCGCCCGCCAGCACGCGATGAACAACCACAAAGCCCTGCTGTCGTCAAAACCGCACGCCGAAAAAACGCCTTTTTGCAAGTAATCCGCGCATGCAGTGACAATAATTCAAATGCCCGTGTTATGGGCTATCTGTTTAGATATTATAAGAAAAATTACAACTTGAAATATGAAGCGGTTCATGAATTACAAAAGAAAGAAAAGCGCACGTACCTGCCGATGCGTCTGCCATGTTTGTTGTTGTCATTTCTTCTTCTTCCTTCAACGCTCCTCTGCGGGATCACATGACTAATGATGGCGATGGCACTAGCACTTCCAATTGTACAACGAAAAAGAAAACGAGCAGTTTCGGTTCTGTTTTCACGTTGAAAATGAAGTTTTTGAGTCGTGTCGTCATTTGACGACGCCAGGGCCGAAAGGGTTAATGTAAACATTTGACAGATGTCTGTCTGGCTGGGTATGTAAACTCGGAAACGATTTTACTCCTACGAAAGAGTATGTGAAAATTCGTAAACCCGATGTTTCGGAACCAACTTGGTTACTTCCTCTGGGGGAACTGAGGCTATGTTGCAGCGGCGTCATGGCACTCGTGGCGCAGTTAATGACCCCCCTATCTCGTTATGCCACGGAGCGTAGTCCGTGTATGCACACGGACTACGCTCACGTACTTTTTGGGCTTCCATGTTCAGGGGCTGTAGCAGATCAGTAATGGTTAATGGTTATGTGCCAGTTTACTCACATCTCCCACCACTGACCACTACAACCCACTGCTACCCTCGCCACTCCTCCCACTTTTCATCCAAATAACACCTCATTCAGCCAGCTGAAATAATAGGCGAAGCGAAGGCTTCTTCGTAAGCCACAGCTTTGCTGTTTAATCAGTGTCTGCTTTGCACAGATGGTTGATTTTTTGTATCCCTTTAAAGGGTCCCTGCAAAACTTTTTTGAGCATGGTCAGAAACACTGCCGATCGGTAGGCAAGGTGAGGAGAAAATACGAGCCAAATATTAGAGCTTAGCACATGGCCTGGAATGCACAATAAATTCTCAAAGTCAACTAAAAATTTATTTTTCTTCTCTCGACATAAGACAATAAAAGCTCAAAAATCACTCGTTACAGCCATTGTTTCAGCCATTGGTTGATTTGAGCGTAGCACGCTTCGTCGTTACTTGCGCAGCCGCTAGAGGCTGCAACTTGTCCACGCGCACGTGTGATCGCACTGAAAAGCCGCGTACTCTAAGAAAAAGGAAAAGGGCTCAAGGTCATGAGTAGAGGCTGGATTTATACGCACTAAAGAATCGTGTTATAGGTGCCGGAAATAGGCAGGCAAAACACAGTTTCATGTCCCCGAAATCGTATATATAGCCACAATAAATTTTAAAAAAATTATAATTTTTGATAGGAAAGCAAAAAGAAATGCCAGTGGTTTAGCATAGCCTTGCCTATTTCTCACGTGGTTCACAGAACACAGTAGCCCTTTTTTTGTCCAGCTTGGCGAGTTAAGTGCCCACCATCGAATAAACACACTTCTGGTCTGTTTCTTTTTGGCATGGCTGAGAAGGGCAGCACAGGAGGAAATAGTTTGACCGCTAATAGGTTAGAAGGGACTTTTAGCTTCATATTAAGCGGTTCTAATCACACATGGTCAGTTTATCCTTCATATTCAATAAATATCAACGCGTGCACTCTACTTCCGAACTTTTGCAACCGTGCAACCCTTCATGGCTTATAACTCGGAACTAAGTATGACTGTTTAAAATTTCTATTCCTCATTATTCGTAATAAGGTTAAAATAACTCATTAGATTTCTTTGTAATTTCTCCAGACCCGCGCTCTAGACACAAACACAGTTTGTATATACAGCCACCAGCCACCCAAAATGACAAATTTAAATACAGTTTCTTTTTGCGGGCAATTAAAGAATAAACGAATTACCAAACCTAGTCGTGATGTCTCCCTCTACGACAGCTTTTCCTGCAGCTTTAGAATCACTTATTTTCTCTGAAACAGATGTGTCATAGCACTTGGTTTTATTTCTTTTTATTCTTGTCTTCATGATGTCAATGTATATAGCCTCTTAATTTTTAATTTTTGTTCTTAATGCACAGATTGTAAGCGAACATGCCTATGTTTGGGCGTAATATTAGTGTAAATGCTAGGTGTTTGCCGTATGTCTCTATTTTGGAACATATTTCATGCCCATCTATTTATTTATTTTATTTTTGCCCAGATTTCAGCATAAAAGTGTTTGCTATCTTGTAAAATTGTGTGCATTTTCCACTCCTGTAAAAACCCCCGCTTGGAGTTGACAGTATTAATAAACAAATAAACATTCAATTTTCGGTGCATGAACCATTAAAGCAGTTTTAGCGGTGCGATGCTGTGTATTGTGGTAAGAATGCATGATCTATGCCAGCCTTTCCAAACATGTGCACATAGAGGGATTAATCCTACAAAAACAGGCAGTACAATACAAAGAGCACCGAAACAACATTTGCATGCACCACCTGGCTTAGCATGTCATGTGAATGTAACCTTGCGTGCGCATGATGCGCTGATGCGTCGCGTGTGATCTTTCATCCCTGAGTTGCTCCAATACTGAAGAGGGTTGGAAAGGAATTTGGTTTACAAAGGCTACACAGCGGGACTAGCAAAGGTTTGAAGCGGACCTCCTCGTATCATGCTTTCGCGGTTTGTAATGAAGCAATTAGAAAACATTCTTGTAGTTCACAGCTTTTCATTGGGTACGCAACAACTTCCAATGTCTAACTAAAATTTCTCATGTGTTGTAGTGAAGTGCCCTTTAAGAAGTAACTTGACGACCAATAAAACAAAAACCTCACAGTCATTGATTTTTTTAAACCTACACTCTACTTTCCCTTGATGACACTCCACGGTTTCGATTTCGTTCTTCATTGTCCTGCAGCTACATGGAAGCACTTCTGTTCCTTACACGTGCGCGCAGATGCTGCAGGGAGATGCAGAGAAGGAGACGCTACGCAGATGAATACACGTGGAGAGGCTAATTGGCCTGCCTATTGACTAAAGAGCCAATATGCAGGCTTATTGTGCGTTCATGATATTATAGTGCCTTGAAATTTCTGAAAGGAACTTCGCAGATGGCGTATAGGTTGCACCCCATAGAGTTCATAAAGCTCAATTTTGCCCTGTAACATGAATACTGGTCTCCAGCAGTACTCAAACACAAAATTTGCTATTAAATAGTGTTGATAAAGACAATGATTTTGAATATAGTCATTTATAGGCACTTATAGCAATTTAGGCAAAAATGTCAAAATAGGCATTTATAGGTACTATAAAAACACAATAAACGCCCATCCTAACCCCTAATTCATGCTCATATATCAAAATGGCACGATAGGAGCGCAAAGAACAAAATAGGCATTAGCCTATAATGCGGTCTCTAGTCATGAGGTGCGTGTGACGTGTTTTCTTACCCCTTGCCATCCCTCCCCGCTTAGCTTCCAGCGCTTTCATTGGGATGAGAGAAGAGAGAATGCAATTGCATCCTGTGCCAATTCTTTGTGACTCCACTCCTACTGGGCAAATTCTAAAAATTTTTGTGGCAGTGAAATCATGAGGCAATAAGCTCCTCTAGTGAATCCACTCCATGAAAAAGTGTTGCAGGGCTCCTTTAGATTTTTGTTTCCAAAACACACATCATTTTGTATGACAGCATCTGTTGAATGGAAAACTAGTCATTGTGCACACGCACCTTTAGCTGATTTTGCATGCATGGGTGGTTCGCTACATCACATACGGCAAAAAATTTTGCTTAATTTAGTAACACTTTGTGCGTTCCATTTATTCATTTATGAATGTCTGTGCTGAAACAACTTCACGTTGGAGTCCTGTTCTGTTTTTTTGCTACATAGGCATCTTCAGCTAAATTGTGGGTTTCCAAAGGGATGCCGAAGTCAAAAATAGTTGTTGGTGTACCGACTTATGGCTTGGTTTGGAGACTTGGTCATCACAAGTGGCATGGTGTTTCTTGCCTCACCTTGGGGAAAGCTACCGAAGGAGGGGGATACATCACTTACCCTGAGGTAAGTGTTAATTTTTAACATTTAGATTTAGGTGCATGTTAAAGAACAATAGATATCACAATTCAATTTAGAGTCCCATAATAATGCAAGTCATAAAAATTTTATTTTCGGTACATGAAATCCCAAAATTTATTCATCGGTGTGATCTTGTATTGGTAAAGCTTTCAAATATAAAGGTGGGATACTGCAAGAAAGTATCTTGTTGAAGGCATGTTTAATGACTGAAAAGCTGTTTTTCTCATTGCTGTTGTGTTGGGAATTGTCGTCATGAGTTTGTGCATTTGGCATATGAGTGTTCTTCAAGTGTGTGACACCTAAAGAGGTGAACCTCTCTAGTATTATTCAAGGTGCAGTATTCCCCAGTGTACCATATACATTTCTATGTGCTTAATCACGGAAGCCCATGGTTCATATTGTCAGAAGTTGTAAGAGAAGTTAGATTTGAGTATGTATGCGCAACAAAAAGTTTGGTGACTGAAGTGGCGTGAAAAGGGCATAACTGCAGCCATGTTTTTAATGTCCGAGAGGAATTCAATAGTAACAGCATTTGGGCATTACAAAGGGAAGGTCGTTATGGTCATGCATTCAGTATATAAATGTGAACATAGAAATGTACGAGGTGATAATACTTGTTTCTCCGTATTCTCTTTCAACTAACCAAAAAAGGAACTCTAAAGAGTCTTTTTCCAAAGGATAATTTCAATCCACAATTTCATTCACTAAATACAAATTTCAGTGTGCATTTGTGTGAGTGAACTAGTCTGCAGCTGTTACAAACCTGTGAACATGTTTAAAAATGCCATTTCAATTACATATATTGATCTTGATTTTATGCATTTACTGTGAAGTACAGTGCTCATGCAGTAGCACTTCAGAAGTGCTGCTGCAGTATGACAAAGGTTCTTCCAGAAAAGAATACGAACATGTCAGCACAAATCAAGCATTTTCCTTTTGCATTTGAGATGTCCGACTTTTTTTTTTTTGCTGTTTTGTCGACCATGTGCCAAGATTATTATGGATTATATTTATTATTATGATGCACATCAGGCTCGTTGCCAGTACTCTGACAGGATATAAAATAATGGTCAACTTGCAGTATCGCTGTGTAAACTTGATTGACAGAAGAAAGTTAGGTACATTGGTACTTTGATATAGTTTGAAATAGATACTTTTTAAGATGCTTTGAAAAAGGAAATCAGTTCCAATTTAAGTTTAAATGCCTTGTTTGCCTTTCTCCGATCACATTTGAGGATGCGTAAGAATTCCGCATTAATTTGTGGCTGACTGCAATACTTCATAACTGACTTCAAAATTGTACCGCACACCACTCATGAGTGTGGCTGCATGTCACCTGCTACTGTAACAATCACAACTGTGCTGAAAGTTGAGGAACTGGCTTTGAACCTCACCTGCAGTTTGTCCAGGTGACGTTTTCTTTTTTCTTTTTTCGGAAGTGGTGCACCTTCAGTTTCAGGCTTTTTTTTTTCTGAAATATCAAACACACACCTGTTTGTTATAAGTTATAGGGAAGGCAAATAAATGAGGCAGATAGTGGTAAATGCACCCTTGGTGTGGTCCTCACATTGCTAACCAACAAAAGCAATAAAATACACAAGAAATAAAAAAAAATTCTTCTCAGTACTTCTGCATTGGTGTCACCTTATCAAGGTCCAACACAGTTACAGGTAGCACTTCAAATTACAAGCTGTTGTCTTCCGAATCCAGGCTTGGCTTGTATTTGAGGTCAGAAAAGCCATCGAAGGCAGAAGAGCCCCCAATTATTGATAGAATTTCTTCAAGCATGCCAGTGCCTTCTATGGACAAGTACTCATGGTAAAAATCTGTACTCCACAGCAGCCGCTCTGATGAGTGCGGGGGCCTCACGCTTTAGCTTTCCGCTTGCGGTGTGCCAGTATTTCTTAGATAATGTGAATTTTGCTAAGTGCAACATATTACTCTAACTCAATCACGAACTGCGATGTTTAGCTGTGTCGGCCTTTCTACGACTTCACTTTGTCCAGCTACTCTGTCCAGCTACTCTGTTCAGCTGTTGACCAGCTGATTGGATCGAAAGCATTAATTTTTTTTTTGTTTCTTTCTGGCACTAGTATGCCATGGCATAGAAAAATACAGCTCGTCTGCCAAAGAAGAACACGAACAGTTCACAATTTGCGATCCATTGACACTATTGACGTCTATAATGTCAGGCTCTGATAGTTAAAGAGTATATGCTAGAAAGTATAGGCAACATTTAATAAAATAGGATGCATTCACTAGACATTGTGCATGTCTTTCACACGATAAGTGGTTACCAACCTTTGTTGGCTATAAGTTCAAATAACTACAGGTTGAAATAAAACTTAGAGTTCAAAAAGAAAAAAGTAGGACAAGGAAAGAACTACGCCACAAGCAATCGCTCACAACTAAAAGTTGTTTGAGTATATGAAGAAGCATATACGAAAATGGGGGTGTATCGTTCACATCATAAAGAGGCATAAGTATTCAAAGAACTGTTGCATGTTCAAAGTAAATTAATACAGTTGAATTCCTTGTCGTGTGACTATAAAGAAGGTTGACTTGCACAAAGAGCGGCGTTTATAAATAAGATATGCCTACGGAGAGCTCTGTTGTGGTCTGATTAGGGTGAGGGTAAAAAATTGCTGTGCTTTTGAAGTTGGGATTACATTTGCATGATTGACAATGTGGCTCCATTAACTAAATTTTGATGCTCTTTAAGGGGTGAAAAAAGGCCGCCAGGGGGCTGAGGTGTGTAGTCGCACCTCACATGGGCTCCTGCTCTTATTGCTGTTTTCTGTGCAACCTTGCCTGGACACTGCTCGCGTTTAGTGACCTGGGATTCCTCACGTTGCAAGGCATCGTTTGACACCAGACTCATCGCAGTGAGTGTACTTTTTTACTAGATATTGAACTCTAAACATGTTGTGCCTGCTCTCTGGGACGCGCCAAGGAATTCAGAGGACGCGCTGCACGCGAACGCCGCTGTGGCACGAGGACGGGCCTGCGAAACGAGCTGGACGCCAGCGTCTCGTAGGTGCACGAGCACGCTGCTCACGCAACACAGAGACGCAGCGTCTGAGGTAAAGAGCTAGCGCTCTCATGGAAACGCAGACGTCTAACCCACGTCAAAAAAGCCCGAGTACGATACAAGTGGACAACACGGAGGGTAACACAAGAACGGCATCACAATGGACGTTTGATGAAAATAGTGGCAAAACGACAGGCAAAGCCCACATTGAGTGGCTTCAAGCTGGCTGTAAAGGCAGGTCAGCCAAAGAAGAAAAGTCAGCCGAAGAACGAGCTACGCAACCTGTGAAGCCAGACGCCGAATCTCAACCGCAACGTCAACGCAGCACTAGGATGCCGCCATTCCCTACTGATGACTTCAAAATTGTATTCCGCCCGCAACCAGGACTAGATCTTTCAAAACGAACACGCATCGAGGTTACACATGCCATCGGAAGATCCAGTGGCTTGACCCAGCAGGACTTCTATGACCATGTGCGAGTGCAGGTGCAAAAAGTAGAGAATGTGATCATCGCAAGCTCAGCAAGTACTGAACGAGCTTCCAAACTGCAAAGTATAAATGCTATACAGCTCGGTGGAGTAATATATCAAGTGAATACGCACATTCGACACCCCTATGATGTGTGCTGCGGAGTGATCTACGGCCTCGAACCAGGAACAAGCCCCACAGAGATTGTTGCAGGACTTCGCGTAGACCCAAGATACCACGTCCTTGGCGCGCGCATGCTGGGATCTTCCACAGCTGCAGTTATCACTTTCGACGGGCAGCACGTTCTTTTTTACTTGACGTACCTCAGTGGAGACTACCGATGCAAGCCATACCGGAAGTCCATCCAATATTGCCGAACCTGTGGCGCCCTAGGTCACCGACAAGACATCTGCCCTCAGCCGAAAGCGAACTTCTGCTACAAATGCGGCCACGACAAGGACACAGAACCACATGACTGCCAACCGACGTGCAAGATCCGCGGAGAAGACCATGAGACTGCTGGAAAGAAATGCAAGAAAAAACTCCGCAGCAACCCCCCTCCTTATCAAGTAAGATGCCACCAGCTTGATAACGCCCGCGCCCGTGAGAATCACTGGAGTGCTTGCACCAATGATTTACCCGGGTCAGTTATCACACCAGAAATTTCAGGGGCCCCCTCTTTTCCCCCAAAATTTGACCGAAGTCGCTCTCACTCTAAGAAGAAAGGTCGCTCTGGATCCCGCACGCCATCACGGTCTCGCTCTGTTAGGGAAATCAGTTACGCCGCCGCGGTGACCGGTAGTGACAAGCCCAGTTCTCTAAATACTACAAGTGCCTCGACCATCTCGCCTGCTCAGACAGCGACCATCCGGGCTCTAGAAAATAAAGTCCAAGATCTACAACGGAGGGTACAACAACGCCTACCAGCCGAGTGTAGCACACTAGAACTTTACGACAGCATACTAAAACAGACGGAAGCCAGAATAATGAAGGGGGTAGAAGAAAGGCTGCACGCACATGAAGCGAAGATGCTCGACCTCGTCGAACGACGCCTTGAAACTTTCGAGAAAGCCCTCACTGCGAAACTCCTCGCATCCATAGACACAACCATAGAGAAAGTGGTTACTAAAATTATGGAAAAGGTAGACCCACTGACCCGTACTGTAAGCACGCTCGACGCCAAGCTTGATGGCTTCATGGCACAACAGCATAACTTCATAACATATGCATACAAAAATTTCGTTACCCATGAGCAGCTGGTGGAGCAATCAGGGACGAAGTGGAAAGAGCGAAAAAAAAACTTTAGGGTATGAAACTGCAACGGAAATTCGATCTACACCACCAAACGACCGGCACCAGGCGGGAATCAACTGCCAGAATGGCAGCTCCCACACATAGACAGTCTGAGCCACTCCCCACTCTTCGAATTTGGCACTGGAATTGCAGATCCTACAGACCTCGTTCTGCAAACTTGCAAGAATATGTT